TGCTCCGCCCAATTTCGAGCACCCAGTCTGCCACGGGCTGGATCAAAGGGAAGGAAAATAGGGCTCAGGAAAGGACAGGTACCCCAGAGAAGTTGGAAAAGGCTCTCAGCTCTCAAGTAGTCATTCTCCAACCATGAACAGGGCCCGCACCATCTCTTCTCACTGGGCCTGGAGTTCCAGGAGCAGAATGCCACCACCTACATCCTCAGCTCTGCTTCCATTTTACAGATAGAATAATGGAGCCTGGGAGCAGAGACAGCACTGGCACCAGGAAGCAGGGCTGGGAAGAGGGGACCTGGGACCCACACCTGAGGGGCTCCCTCCTTCTCCTGACCTGGCACCCATGTTTGAGCTCAGAATGGAGAGTGGGTAGCTCTCTGCCTGGTAGGGGCCCTGGGAGTAGGAGCCACGTGCCCTAGGGGAGCTTAAAGTGCCTCCCTTAAATTAAGCTGAAATTCATCTGCCCAGAGGGCTTTTGCCCTGGCCAGCAGAGTCTCTGAGTTTCCAGGCAGGAAATAGGAGACATGCGTCCACTTCCACCAAGAAAACACTGCAACAGGGGCTTCTAGTCCTGTTCCACCCAACTATGCAACCTTGGACAAGTGCCCACATTCTCTCGCTGTGTACACAAGGAAGTGGAGGGATGGCTTTAGAGGTGGTGTCTGGGCCATCTCAATTTCATCCAACTGAAGCAGCGCTCAGTCAGAAAAGCAAGAGCAGAAGCCTGGCCCTCCTCACCTGCTTCTGAGGCCTGCTGCCCTCAGGGGGTTCTCATGGAGAGGAGAGGCCATAATTAGCTGGATCACCGGGTGGCGCTGGGAATGCTAGAGCAGAGGCAGAACCTACTGGAGTTCCCAGGATGGAGACAGCCCTGGCAGAGAAGGGAGGGGTTTGTAAAGGCATCCCCAAAAGGACTGTCCAAAACAGTCAAATGAGAAAGGCATAGTGGTTGGGGACAGCTTGAGCAGAGGCATGGAAAAGAAGGCAGCTGACATTGGTGAAGCTCCCCTAGGAGTCTGGCCTTGTCGCAGGTGCTTAGGTGACATTCTTATTTACTCCGCACAACCCAGGAACTGGAGAGGAGGAAATGATCACCCAGAAGGCTCAGGCGACATCTCCAAGGTCACACAGTTGGTTAGTTGAAGAACCTGGACTCAAACTCTGGCATCAAAGATTGTAACCTGCACTGTCCCCTGCAGTGGCCCAGCCACTGTGGCTGTTGAGCCCAGTGTAGCAAGTCCAAATTGACACATGCTGCAATTGTAAAACACACTGGGTTTCAAATCTTAGTATGAAAAGGAAAGCAAAATATTCCATTAATAGCTCTCATTTTGAAATATGTTGGATACATTGAGTAAAATACATGAATTCATTTCACTTATTTCTTTTTACTATTTAATGTGGCTACTAGAAATATTTAAATGATATATGTGGCTTGCATTATATTCCTTTTCGACAGAGCTAATCTGTACCATGAAGATGGAAATACACAGGACAGATTTAAAGGAAGAGAGTAGTAACTACCCCATTCTTTATGGGAGAGCCAGGGCCAGATTGTGAGCTTCTTAGGGGTCAAGTGGGCATGAACATCAAAGGTGAACAGAACGAGAAGTGGATTGTTTGCATCCCCTCCTCTGTCCTGGCTGGGCCAGCCAGCAACAGGTGAAATCAGGCCTAGGATGACCATTCCCCTGCTCTCCACTCCAGACACATCAGGCCATAGTAGTTGCCATAGGGACAGTAAATCTTACTAAAAACTGAACTTGGGGGCAGGGGAGTGGGAGAGTCTACCATAAAGAGAGGGAGAGGGCGCCAGGCTTATCCGGAGAGGAAATCTGTGCATGTTGTGTGCTGGGGGTGGGGCAGTGCACAATCTCCCAGCCTGTCCTGGCCAGAACAGGGAGAGACACACAGCCCAGGCCGGTGTTTGCACAGGGCTTTCCGGACCTTCCTCCCTACCTCCCCACGCCTCTCTAGCCTCTGATCTCTATCCCCCCTTACCAATTCATCAGAAATTTTCTATCTTGTTTCCCTGTTCTGACATTCTGACTCTGGGACCCAAGTAGGGGTGGGAGCAAATAAGTACCAGGTCTCCCTGATCCCACCATCTCCCCCTCAGCCCCTGGCAGAGTCAGTTTCCCTAAGAATATTAAGAAGGGTGGTCTAAGGCCGGAAAAAACAATTGGAAAGTGTTACCATGCCAGAAGCAGTACTGTTCATTGCCCAGCTGAGAGTGAGACACCTCTTCCCAGGCAGATGCTTGCTGGTAGGTCTCATGCCAGCCTTGTCATATACTTTCCAGGTCATCTGGGACAAGGGGCATGCAGGGGCCTCAGTTCCCCCATCTGTACACCGAAGTCGATTTTGCACTGACTACAGGTCCCCAAAGTTCTCTGACTTCTCCCCACTTTAGGTAGGCACATAAGATCTCAGGCAACATGGCACATACATGACAGGCGTTGGTGCATTTGGATGGTGCTAGGTATTCCTGCTCACCAGCTCAAAGTAAGAGCCTCTTGGGGAAAGCCCAGTCTCAAAACTGGTGCCACTGGTACCCACTTCCAACTTCCTGAAGCGGAGAGACAGAGATCCAAAAGGGTTTTGAAAGCAGGAGTGGAGGGAGGAGGAAGCTTCTGACCTCCCATTTGAGTTATTCCCTGTCATTTGACACAAACCCTATTGGGCAAATCCCCCCTTACCAATTCATCAGAAATTTTCTATCTTGTTTCCCTGTTCTGACATTCTGACTCTGGGACCCAAGTAGGGGTGGGAGCAAATAAGTACCAGGTCTCCCTGATCCCACCATCTCCCCCTCAGCCCCTGGCAGAGTCAGTTTCCCTAAGAATATTAAGAAGGGTGGTCTAAGGCCGGAAAAAACAATTGGAAAGTGTTACCATGCCAGAAGCAGTACTGTTCATTGCCCAGCTGAGAGTGAGACACCTCTTCCCAGGCAGATGCTTGCTGGTAGGTCTCATGCCAGCCTTGTCATATACTTTCCAGGTCATCTGGGACAAGGGGCATGCAGGGGCCTCAGTTCCCCCATCTGTACACCGAAGTCGATTTTGCACTGACTACAGGTCCCCAAAGTTCTCTGACTTCTCCCCACTTTAGGTAGGCACATAAGATCTCAGGCAACATGGCACATACATGACAGGCGTTGGTGCATTTGGATGGTGCTAGGTATTCCTGCTCACCAGCTCAAAGTAAGAGCCTCTTGGGGAAAGCCCAGTCTCAAAACTGGTGCCACTGGTACCCACTTCCAACTTCCTGAAGCGGAGAGACAGAGATCCAAAAGGGTTTTGAAAGCAGGAGTGGAGGGAGGAGGAAGCTTCTGACCTCCCATTTGAGTTATTCCCTGTCATTTGACACAAACCCTATTGGGCAGAGGAGGATTCCTACAGCTATCTTTTAATTTTGTTTGGTACTTCGGTATTTTACTAAGCTGTGGTTAGGCAGGTTCTAGGCCAGCATGCCAGGTTTTCAGTCACTGCTCTCCTCCAGCAGGGAGCCCTCACTTATTCCGGCCTGGCCAGAGTCCTTTTCTCTCAAGGCTGCAGCATTCCCACTGAGGGGCAGCTGAATCTAGGGACAGTCCCTACTCACAAACCCCTGAAAACTGGGGGAGAGGAGCCAGCGACCAGAATCCCAGAAACCCATCCATCCCCCAAAAGGCCCAGGGATTAACCAACTCGCAAACGGAGAAAACAGACCTAAACACAAACTGAGACTGGCCCAAGGTCACACTCTAAGCACATGAGGGGCAAATCTGGGACTAGAACCCAGTTATTCTATCGTCCCCCACCCAGACCCAAGACTAGTTACCAGAGATGCTCACAGAGGATGAGGCAGCCCCTCTCCAGCCCCAGTGGCCTGAGCCCTACCCCAGGCCCCAAGCACCATAGAGCAGGGGGAGGCGTCTTCAGGCCTCTTGCCAGGGCCAGCTGCAAACCGCATCCTGGGTCCCCAGGCGCCACGGACCCGCCCCGCCCCTCCCACCGCTCCCCGCAGCCCGGAGCCTTTGTCAGCCACGCGCTCACAGGCTCACACACATCCCCGCCGCCTGCGCGCACTCCCTCGGTCTCCCCTGGTGCACACCCGCAAGGGGCACGCGCACTCGCCGCACGCACGCAGGGAGTGGAACCAGAGGAGGAAGGAAGGAACTGACCGGCGACAGACCCACAGACCTCCTGGCCTGGGGGAAGGGGAGGAGAGGCCCCGGGAACCTGAGGCTGGGGCAGGAGGGGCGCGGAAGCGAGAACGCAGAGAGACACAGAGGAGACTCTCGGAGAAGAGGACAACAGATGGGACGTCAAGGGCTGGCGAGGACGCGTGGGATACTCCAGGGCTGGGGACTCCCCCAACCCCGGGCCCGGGGAGGGGTGGGCAGTCCCTGGATTGGACCAGTGGATCATAGGGCATTCCTTGCCCAGTTGTGCCTGAGCCGAGGGCCCTTAGGGACCCCACGTAAGGCTTGGATATAGGGGGCCTCGGACCAAAGGCTCACCGGGGTACCTCGGGGGGGTGGGGGTGGGGAATGGGGTCCTAGTTCTTGGACTGGGTGGGGCACTAGCTCACCTGCTACGGTGTACCTGTCCAGGTAGTTGAGCACGTTGCCCAGGCTGAGGATGGCAGCAGCTGCCCCCCGCCCGCAGCCCAAGCTGGCCGGTTTGGGTTGCTGAGCGCCGGGGCCCTTGGCAGCGGCTACGCAGCTGGGGGTGCTCGGGGTGCTCGGGGGTCCGGACGGGGCCCTCCTCACACTGCCCGACAACGTGTGCACCTCATCGTCTGCGGCCAAGACTCCAGCGGCGCCCGCTCCCCGCTCCCCGCAGCAACCGCCACTGCCAGCCCCTCGCTGCGCCCCCCGGTGCCGGCGCCGCCGCTCCGACCACGTAAGGCTTGGATATAGGGGGCCTCGGACCAAAGGCTCACCGGGGTACCTCGGGGGGGTGGGGGTGGGGAATGGGGTCCTAGTTCTTGGACTGGGTGGGGCACTAGCTCACCTGCTACGGTGTACCTGTCCAGGTAGTTGAGCACGTTGCCCAGGCTGAGGATGGCAGCAGCTGCCCCCCGCCCGCAGCCCAAGCTGGCCGGTTTGGGTTGCTGAGCGCCGGGGCCCTTGGCAGCGGCTACGCAGCTGGGGGTGCTCGGGGTGCTCAGGGGTCCGGACGGGGCCCTCCTCACACTGCCCGACAACGTGTGCACCTCATCGTCTGCGGCCAAGACTCCAGCGGCGCCCGCTCCCCGCTCCCCGCAGCAACCGCCACTGCCAGCCCCTCGCTGCGCCCCCCGGTGCCGGCGCCGCCGCTCCGCGTCCGCCTCCTCCTCCTCCGCGCCGCCCGCCGCCGCCGAGGCGCATTCCAGGCACATCATGCCGGCCGAAATCGGGGCGGCGGGGGGCGCGGGGGACGCGGGGCCCAGCTTGGGCCCACTCAGTGCGTGTTTGCGCCGCGGAGCCGCCGTTGCACCATCCCGGCCGGGCCCTGTCGGCTCCTGTGCTCCGGTGGCTGCTGCGGCTCTGCCGCGGTTCAGCCCGATGCGCCGCGGCCGCAGCGGCAGCTCTGACAGCTGCGGGCCGGCCCCGCCCATCAGGCCGCGCCCAATCAGTTCCAGGCTCGGGCCACAGCCCCGCCCCGCACGTGCTGCCCCGGGGCTGCCGGCGGGGGCGCAGTCACGCTGGAGACGCGCGGTCGCGGACGCTAGCAAGGACCCAGAGGGATTTGTGGGGAACTACAGAACCAGGAGCAGAATACGGGGAGCAGGGCTCTCCAGCTCTCACTCAGTGTTCTCCCTCCCCGCTCCCTACCACGAAAGTGGGCTACTCTGGGAGAACGCTGAGAGCTCCCGCTCAGAGCAGATGTACGTCCTGGAGCGAGAGGCTCAGACGGTTAAGTCAGGGGCGCCTGTAGGAGGGCCTGCAGCTGCTCCAACAGCTACTCACCTGCCCTGAATTAATCAGTTCAGGCAGGGCTTTATAAGGACCGAGAAGCATGACCGGTGGGGAGCTTGGTCCAGAACCCAGGCCTCCACCAGACACAGAAGGCTATGTTGCCCACCTCCCCAGAGAAACCCAGCCCCAGCCCCCAACATCCCCTGTGACCATTATGTGTGCGCCGAGACCCCAACCCTACCCTACAGACTGTCAAACCCTGGCAAGGAGAACCAGGGCTCCAATTAGGGCTTACCAGAAACAGGGCATTAAGAAGAGGCCTCCTCCCGGACTCCAAGCATCAGACTTCCCCCTGTGCACTAGAGAAGGGACAAAACTCCCAGACGGAAGACAGGAGGCTGGGTCCTAGCCCAGCTCTGCCCTGGCCCCGGACAATACCCCTAACTCTCTCTAGGTCTCAGTTCTCTCTGGGGATACTTGGGAGAATAAGATTGTCTGGAAGTCTGTGAGCGGTCACTCTCCGTGGGGGAGGAGGCAGTCCCGTCTCCCATGAAGAGTGCCTGGGTAGTTACTGTGTTCAGGGCCACAATACTGTTCTCCGTGTCTCAGAAGTGCTATGGTTCTGAGAACTGCCCCGACCCTCAAGCCCTCTCCCTCTTACGTTTTAAGACTTAAGTTGAAATTAGAATTCTAAACAAAGTGCTGAGAACAAAAGATTAGAAGCAGAGAGAGCCTAGGAAATTTTCCCGTGTTTCACGGACAGGTGCCAGGGTCCAGAAATGAAATTATCCTAGCGTGCGTATATAGCTCATCCATGGGCAGGGTTGGTGCTGACCCGGGGCTCTGATACCAACCACCTGGGCTGGGAGCTCAGTTTCCACGTCAGGCTGTTCCAGACCCCACATCCACGGGCAGGTGCATCTCATGAAGGTGTTGGCCGCAGTGAGTCACGGCACAGCCAAGGGTGACACAGCACGAGGCGCCGCCCCCACCGTCCCTGAACTTGTCTCCTGTAAGCAGAGTTAATTCCCAGGCTGGTGTTTCTTGGCGCCTTCGAAGTGTATTTTAAATTCTGAGAAGTGACTAAAAATATGCTTCAGTGTGTTGGGCATGAATGATTGTGATGGAAAGGTTAGGAAACAGATTTCATTCTGAAAGTTGCCTCTCTGCCTCTTTCCAGCTTGCTGAGCTCAGGCTCGAAAAGCTGGAGAGGGTGAGTTCTGCTGGGTGGCCTGGGATGACAAGTGGTTAACAGGCAAGGACAGACCTAGGGGCTGCAAGGGGCCAGCCCTGGGCCCCAGCAGGGACCCTCATAACTGTGTGATGGTACCAGCTAGAGAACAGTGTCCAGCTGTGAAGGAGACATGGCCATGGCTCTTAGTCCAGTGCAAGGCTCCCTTCCCACTCCCCCAAATGCCTCATTCTTTCAGCCACAGCCCTGCCCAGAGAGACAGTTTTAGCCCTTGACCAGAAAGTGGAGTGTCCCCTTTCCATGACTCCCTTTCCACCACTGAGCCGGCAAAGGTGGCAGAGGTTTGATCCTTTCAAATTTGGGGACCTCTGAGCTGCCACCAAGCAAGCCAGCCATTCCCACTGTGTGGGTTTTCCTTGTTAACTCAAAGGCACTCCCTAGAACAAGGTTTGAGTGGGATAAGGGCCCACCTAGGGCAAGGAAATGGGGAAGACAATAAGCCCTTTCTGGCTACGCGGCCCTGGGCTAGTCACAGAGGCCTTCTGAGACCCTCTGGCAGTGTAATGGAACCATCAGCCATAGGATTGTAAGGTTCTTATCGCCATCTCACTGATGAAGAAACTGAGACTCTGGGAAGAGAAGTAATCCACCCAAGGTCACATACCTCATAAATGATAGGGCTTGCACTACACCCAGGTGTGTCAACCCCCCAATCCAGTGTTTCTTCTACTGCCCACAATACTGTCCTTAGCTTCTCCAGAATAGTTTCCTCATTGGCATAGGAGGCTGAATTCAATGATGGCTTAAAGGACTGCTGCTATCCATTCATTAGGCTTAGACCATAACTTCAAAACAAAGAGGGAACAGGACACCAGTATTCCAATGCAAGTATGTTTGGGAAATGGTGAGGTGAACACAGAGAAACAGTCTTCCTTACTGAGGGACTTCTCAGAAACTTAATCTGAGAGTGTACACTGTGAGTCTCCCAGAGGCATAGGCTGCCACGTCCCCATGTCCGCAGAAGAACTTGTAAAATAACTAGAACTTTGCAGAACACTGTCTGAGAGACACTGGCTCCCCCTCGGCTGATAACTAGAAGCTCAGTCCACCTCCCCCTGCCCATCCCCCTTACATGTAGTGCCTCCGTAGATCTCAGTCCCTTCCCTTCTCTCTCAGCACACTCCCCATTGGCAGCCTCTCACCATGTTCGGGCTTTCCTCAATCATCCACATGCTCATGACACCCCAACCTCCATTTCTAGATGTGGCCTCATCTCCGAGCCCTAAGTCTGTACGCAGCCTCCGGCACACACACACACCCCACCCCAGGTATGTCAGTGCCTCAAACTCAACACAACCAAAACTGAACTCATCATCTTTCTCCTAAACCTGTTCCCACCCCAATATCTTTAGCTCTTGACAAATGACACCATCATCCACATTGTCACCAAGCAGAGAACTTCTGGGCCATTTGGGACTCCTTCTTCCCCCTCAACTCCCATATTTAGGGCCAGTTCATTTTTTCTTCTTAATATCTCCCAATGTCCCCACTGCTCACTGACAGTTCAAACCTCTCTATGTCTCATTTGGAGACTTTTGAGGATCAACATCATCTGCCCCAATATCCCTCTCCAGCCTTTTCCCTATATTCCTTGCCAGCAATTTATTTTTATTTTTTATTTTGGTATCATCAATCCACAACTACAGAAAGAACATTATGATTACTAGGTTCCCCCTTTCACCAAGTCCCCCACTACATACCCCTTCACAGTCACTGTCCATCTGTGTAGTAAGATGCTGTAAAATCACTACTTGTCTTCTCTGTGTTGCACAGCGCTCCCCGTGCCCCCCACGCACTATACATGCTAATTGTAATGCCCTCTTTCTTTTTCCCTGCCCTTATCCCTCCCTTCCCACCCATCGTCCCCAGTACCTTTCCCTTTGGTAACTATTAGTCCATTCTTAGGTTCTGTGATTCTGCTGCTGTTTTGTTCCTTCAGTTTTTCTTTGTTCTTATACTCCACATATGAGTGAAATCATTTGGTACTTGTCCTTCTCCGCTTCTTGCCAGCAATTTTTTAAATCACATGATGACCCCATCACTACATTGCCCAAAATATTTCCATGGCTCCCCACTGCCTATAGGATTAAAAATATCTAAGTTCCTGATATCATCTCCAAGACTCTTCATAACCCCTCATGACCCATGCCAATCTCCAGTCTCAGATCATACTGCTTGTCTCTCAAAATTACACTCCACCACACTGAAAATGGAGCTACCTTAAGTCAGTCAAGTTATTACACTTCCTGGAGCCTAGAGGAGTGGAGGGAATTGGGGACACATGTCTATAGTCCCTGGTCTTCCCTCAATACAAAAACCCTTGTCCTACTAACACAATGTTTCAGGACCACGGAGAGCGTCACATGGGCAGCCCCCCTCCCCCTGCCCTTCAGTCTCCTCTGCCTGTGCTCTCTACCTACCTCTCTCCTCCTACCTGTCATTCAGAAACCCAGCACAAACATGATTTCCTCTAGGAAGCCCTCCCTGACCCACCTGAAAAATTGTCATTTCCTCTTCTAGGCTACTTGAGTAACCTGTGTATCACTCTGTCACACCAAACTCATTGTGTTAGTTATGTTTGTACATGAGTCCACCCCACCAACTCACCGCACACCAGACCATGAGCCTCAAGGGCTCATAACCTGTCTGATTCATCTCCACAGTCCAGTACAGAGGAGGTGTTTAGAGAATGTTTGTTGATTGAATGAATAAATGACATTTAGCAGGTGCTCAGGAAGTGTGTGTTGATCTGCATCATGTTTCTGTTGCTACAAGTGACTCAGCCACCAGCCAGATTCCTCTACTGGCCCCTTTGAAAAAGGCATTTTTCTCCTGGATTGACTCCACCCTCCATTGGGTTCCATGTGCCATCTGCCTCCACCCTTTGATGACCTTCTCCACAGGTTACCACCCACAGATGAGGAAAAGGCACCTTCTCTCTGTTCCTGCTGTTGCCAAGCTGGGGACCTGTTGGAGACCCTCCATCCCCCAGCCTGGGCTTGCCTCATGAGTTTGCTCAGAACACTCGTCTCTGCCTCTCACTCCTGCTCAGAACAGATGGCTGAGTCCCCACTAACACAGAAGTTCCTGTTCTGTCATCTGAACATTTTTAACACTTTCTAAATTATAGAAGCTTCAGTCTCCTTTGGTCATGGACTCGGACTATCAGAAAGAAAGAATTCCTTGAAAGACATTGAGTATAACCTCTTCTCTGGCCCATGGAGAGGCTGCCTTTGAGAAAGGGCTAGTGTCCTGTCCAAGACCACTGTAATAGACATCATCTTGTTTTTGTTTTTGTTTGTCTTTTTTTCTTTCATTGCTGTTTTGTTTTGATGCTCAGACTCCATCCCCCTTCCTAACAGCACCCTGGTTTCCTGGTTTTAATGAAGGTATAAATCAAGGTATGGCCATTGGATCCCACTAATCTTCCTCACCCAGTCTTTATATCTTAAGTAGGATGGCAAAAGAATAGGGAAAAATTGTCTGGGGCTCTGGTAAATGCTCCCCTGTAAGAAGGCGCATGACCCCTGGCTCCTTAATCTCTAATCTTCCCATCAATTTGTAAGCTCCTGCTATGCTTCCAACACATCCCTTTCTTGCTTAAGATAGTCAGTTTCTGTTCCACAGAACCCTGCAACCCCAACTGATCGTCGAAGCACATGCAGTCACATACCTCCCTGAAGTGCATACAGCTTGTTTCCAGCAACCTCTGCCTCCTGCCAGCCCTGTCTTTAGAGGCTACATTAAACTAAAAACCTCACAGGTCCACCCACCCAGGCATGGAGGAGAGACATTTCAGGAAATGAAACAGACAGACTGATATCTGGTGTTGCAGTCCCCAAGCCAGGGTGTGGGTGATCATCTTGATGCATGTGCTCAACCCTCCAAACCTGAGGTCCGGGTAGAAAAAGAGCTTTTTCAATGCCCTATAAACACGAACTCACATGCTCACACACCAACACAGAAATAAGCACAACAGGCATACCTCATGCCAGGGTGACACCTGGGAGCTGGAATGCTGTGTGTTCTGGAAGAGCAGCAAACATATTAAGTGAGTAGGTCAGGCTTGAGGGATTCATTCTGCTGAGCCCTGGGTTCCCCTATTGACATTTCCAACAAACAAGTCCAGAGTATAGGGACTGAAATCACTCAGCAAGTGCCCTGAAGTCCAGGAAAGTGTGTTCTGTTGACCACACCTCTGCTCTGGCTTCAATGGCCAGGTTCTCCTAGACTCTCACCTGTCACCTCAGCCCAGTGAGGTCTGAATGATTGGCCCCAGTGAGGAAGGGGTGGGTGGGAGCTGAGTAAACCTGGGGCCTGGGTTGGCTGCGGAGCAGATACTGGTCTCTCACTCCTAGGGTCCACCAGCCCCAGAGCTTCCATCCTGCTCCAAAGCACTTTGGATGACAACATCCTATAAATTCCTGGCTGGGCATTTTGTCTAGCTCAGTCTAGGAAGCACCACCTGCCTTGCAACCCAAATGCCAGGATGTAAATTAGTCAGAAGAAACTGTCCCAGATTATGGAATTCAAGCCCCACCTCCTCAGCTGGCTTCTGAAGTCCCTTTGGTCCCAGTCAATCTCTCTTGCCTCCTCTCTCTCCCCCAACACACACACATACACACACACACACACACACCTTCCTCTCCAGCCGCACCACGCCCTGCCATGATTCATCACATATCTCCTGCCCCACGCCCCTGTGCCTTACTTTGCCTGTCCTCTTCCCCCTACTGGGAATTCCCTCCCCCTACCCACCTGCTGTCCACCAGCTCCTGGGCCACCTCCTCAAAGGCTTCTGAGGGATGAATCCCCTCCCCTGCCCATAGGTGTGACTCACTTGGCCTAGCTGAGTGTTTCCCTGTCCTGTTTTGGGCTGTGAGGTCCATGGCCAGGGTTGGAGGCAGATTCACTGCCCAACACCAAGATAGCCACCCACTTACACCAATACATCTTTCTGGAATTTGCATGAATGAGGTTTCTGATCTTTTTCCCTAGCCACTTGATTCTGGGGGTGGCTGATGTTCTGACTTTCGAGAAGCCCTCACCCATTTTCTGGGAGCTGAGCCTCACAGAGATCCTCCCCAGGGCTGCAGGGAGGAAGGTTAGACTCTAGAGCTGGGCTTCTGTGGGCCTAGCCCCAGCCTGTGAGAACCACATGAGGTCTGCTGTGGAAAAGCCACATTCAACACACCTCTTTAACAGAGCTGGAGATTCTGTGGCCCAGAGAGGACACAAAGTGGCCCAGATCACACAGCCAGTGAGTACCAAGTGGGACCATGCATCTTGGTTCCTGCACAGACCCTGCCACTTCCTTCTCAAAGAAACCAAGTGTGATAGTGTGATTTATAATAAATAACATGTCTGGTCTTTGTCCTGTTCTGGCATAGAGCTCCTAAAACCCTTGGAATTTTCTCAGTGATGAGAGTCCTAAGGTGTCATTTGTTTGTTAATGAGGTGACTTTTGGACTGCACCTAAGGATGAGGGATAGTTGTCTAGAAAGCCACCCATGTGATTGGAGGGTCGGAACTTTCAGTCCCACCCATCTGACCTCCAGGAAAGGGAGACAGGCTGGATGTCGAGATTGATCACCAATAGTCTATAATTTAATCAATCATGCCTAAATAATGAAACCTCAATAAAAACCCAAAAGGACTGGGCTCAGAAACTTCTAGGTCGGTGAGCACACAGAAATCTGGAGAGAACAGTGTGCTCAGAGAGCATGCAAGCTCCTCACCCTTTCCCCATACCATGCCTTGAGGGTCTCTTCCATCTGGCTGTTCCTAATTATATCCTTTTATAATAAGCTGGTAATCTGGTAAGTAAACAGGTCTCCTGAGTTCTGTGAGCTGCTCTAGCACATTAATCAAAACCCAGAAGGGGTTCATGGGAACCTCGGATTCATAGCCAGTCAGTCAAAAGTACAGATGACAACCTGGACTTGCAATTGGGATCTGAAGCGGAATGGAGGGTAGTTGTGTTGGACTGAACCTTTAACCTGTGGAATTTGACACGATCTCTGAGTAGATAGTGTCAGAATTGAGTCGAATCATAGGACACCCAGCTGGTGTCAGAGAACTGCTTGGTGATGTGGGAACCCCCTAACGCACATGTACTTGAAATGCAGAACCCTTACCAAGTAGCCTTGCAGATCCTTTATCTTGCAATTTCAGGGGCAGCCTGTTTCATGAGCTCCAAGCATCAAATGGTAGGTTGTGGGGCTGGTCAGCTGGGTGAGGCCACTCCTGAGGGAGGATTGACAATGGGGTTGGGGGGTCGGGCAGGGGATGAGCTGGAAAGTCCAGCTCCTGGATCTTGTCCCACCCAGAGGGGGCAGGGATGGAGCAGGCAGGGGTCAGGAAGTGAGTGTGAGTCTGAGTCACTGCTCTGCCCACAGCTGCAGGGAGGTAGGTACAGCCTGGCACCATGAAGATGGCGAGCTGCAACTGAACAGTGATCGCCTGGCTTGGCACCAGGGGAGGGAGAGAGAAGCTCATGCTTTTGGGTGGAAAGAACATGCTCCCCACTGCTACCTGCCAGGAAGCTGTTGATCTCCTGCAGGGCATGCTGTGCCCAGCTGCTCTGAACCCAGCAGCAAATGTAGGCCCCACAGAGCCAGCCTTCTCATGGGCTGTGCTAGGGTCAGAATGTGGGCAGTGGGGGTGGCGGGGGCTGAGGTGCAGAGCAGGGCACAGCCAGCAGTGCTCATGCACAGCACAGCTTACTCATGTAAGCACCCCAGCATGGTGCCGGGGCAGCAGGTCTGTGCCAGCTTGGGCACTCCTCCATGGGGTTCCCTAGAACATGAAGCCATACCCTACACCAGCACAGGAGTGGAAACCTACCTCCAAGACTACTGATTCAGCCCCCACCTTTTGTTCAGTGAACTCATGCAGAGGGATGTCCTGTGCCCTCTGTACCCTGAAGAGTAGGGAAACTGGTCAGAGTGGAAGATCCAAGGTAGGGGTGCCTGGAGACCCATTCAGAGCAGCCCCCTTGCTTTCCCCACTTCTGGGGCAGCCCTGCATCCTTGGCCTGGACTGCCCACCTCTTCTCCTGCTCCCTCTCCCAGCAGAGATGCCTTGAGGCTGTAAATAACATGATTGTCTAAAGGCCTAAAATTCACATGCTTTGTACTGGCCACACTTTAATCAGGGCCCACGGCAGCCAGGCTGAGGATCCCAGGCTGGAGCAGCCTCATGATGGGTAGAGGCACAGGCCCAGGCCCCCTGCGGAGGGTGCTGACAGCTCAATTCCCAGCCCAGCTGCAAGTGCTGCCAGCTCTCTGGCTGGAAGGGAAGAAGCGGCAGGTGCGGCTCGGCCGGAGCCCCTGAGCCACAGCCAAAGGCGGGCAGAGGCACTGATACTGTGGAGGCCAATGGAAGGAGGTGGAGGGGACCTCCTCGCTGGGGGCAGGGACCTCAGGGGTCCTCTGTGGAGGCACCAGTGCCAGAAAGCAGGCCTTGGCTCTCCATGCCCTGATGGTCCACATCCATGCTGTCTGGGGCCCCTGTGAAAAGAGAGGTCAGCCAGCCCCAAAGGAGGCAGAAGATACTTTGAGACCAGGGTTGGGCACCATCTGTCTAGAAATCCTCTAGCTTTCATTTTCAAAATAAATTTCTGATCCCCTTGCTTCTCCCCATCTTCAATGCCACCAACATGGTCCCAGCCCCACTGGTCTCCCCCGGTGACCACAGAGCCTCCTGTGGCCTCTCTGCTTTAATGCTGACCCCCTATTCTAGCTGGGAGGGAAGCGATGCAGCAACCAGAGTGGTACTTCTACAGTGTGAATCAGATGCCTTGAGGCTCATCCACTGGAAACCCTGCAGTGGCTCCTATCTCACTCAGTTACACAGTCCTGCAGAGGCTCCCCAAGTCTCCCATGCTCTGGCCCCATTACTGCCACTCTCATTCCTACCACTGTTCTCCTTGCTCCTGCTGCAGCCACACTGGCCTCCTCACCAATCCTCAAGCACATCAGGTACCTTCTGACCTCAGGGCCTTTGCACTAGCTGTTCCCACTGCTGGGAGCACCTTCCCCTAGATAAGTTGGCCCAGCTTTTCTCCTCCAAATCTTTGCTTGAATGTCATCTGTGCAGTTAGGACCTCTTTGACCACCTTTTCAAAAATTGCCAGCTGCTCCAACCTGTTTCTCCCTTCCCACTTTTCTGCTTTATGCCTCTCTGTAGCACTGATCACCTTGAACACACTGTCTTTTGCTTTTCTGTTTCCTGTCTGTCTCTAGCTTCTTAGGCATCAGTTCCATGAAGACTTGAACTTGGAGTTCACTCCCCAGCCTCTGCAACCTTATCTGGCACATAGTATGTGAGCAATAACTATTTTTGAATGAATGAATGAACAAATCCACTGGCTAGGGGCTCAGGGGGTGGCTGATGCTCCTTGCTCCTATGGGGTTCAGCCCTGAGCCTGGCATGGGTGTGAGGGGTGGGGGCACCTGTGCCAGGCTGCCGGGCCAGGGCCTGGGCCTGGGCCTGGTCTCTCTCCAGGTACAGTGCAGTCAGCAGGAAGAAGCTGCCACCCAGGGCGATGACGAAGGCGCAGCACAGGAAACTCTGTTGGAGGCTGAGGAAGCACTGCAAGTAGGAGTCAGGATGCCCTGTCCGCAAGGCACTGGAGATCTGCAGAGGAGAGAGGCTGGGTGTGCCAGGCCCCCTAGATAGCCTCCAGGCCTTAGCACATGCAATTCCTCCAGACCCTCCCCACTCCACACACCCAGGTGCCCCTGGAGCCCAGCCGCTCACCCAGCCTTACAAGTCCAGTGAGATAGGGGCTGCCAGCATCTCCCAGGATGTGACCCACAGTGATCTGAAGCGCCTCTGCTGTACCCCGGCACCTGGGCACCACCACGGACTGCAAAACACAGGAGCACCAGGGAGCTCCCCTACAAGGGCAGACAGTGGGTGCCCTCTCACACCCACCTCCTGTTCCCCACCAGCCAAAGACCTGCCTGGAGGTGTGACATGCTGGCCAAGTGAGTGGGATGGAAAGGAATCAATAACCCCAATGCCCAAAGCCCCATGGCCAGAACATCAGGCCCCTCTGAGCCTCAGGAAGGCTCCCCAGGCCCCCGAGATGGAAGCAGCAGGGACCAGGCATGGCTGTGTCAATCGTGATAGGTCTGGGGCATCCCAGCTCAGGGGCCCAAGAGGCCACCGTGTAAGCTGGCAGGTGAAGAGGCAGTGCACTGCGAGGTGTCTGCATGTGAGGGCTCCTAGGAGGGGTGGCATGGAGGGCTCGGCTCTTCTCTCAGAAGTTCAAGCCCTACTGTGCAGAGACCAAAGGCAGCCTGGCTGGAGAAGGCCACATGACTCCATGGATGAGGATGGGTAGGTGAAGAGAGGAATTTTGGAATCAGATCATCTGGGTTCCAATCCCAGATTCCTTATTCACTCGCTGTGTGACTTTGGGGAAGTCACTTCACCTTTTGTGCCTCAGTGCCTTCAGCCCCAAATGGGAATAATAATAGTACCCATGGATCTCTGTTCATTATCACTCTTCATCTGGCCCTCAGAGGCTTCATGTGGACATCAGACCAAAATAACACCTGATGATGATTCCAGAAGGCGGAATGTTTCCTCACATTTAAAAATGCTGTGCCTTCTGCCTGGCAAGCCTTCCCCTCTCTGGTCCAGCTGGAGCATCCCTATTTGTCCCTCAGGACTGACCTTTGGGTCACCTCCTCTGTGAAGCTTTTCCAGAGTTCAAGTGCCTGCCATGAGCTCCCACAGCCTTGCATGCACCCTAACCACACATATGTCCCCCACAACTGGAAGGGTCCCTGCTTTGTCTGCCTCCCCTTATTACTCTTACACTGGGCAGCAAAGCTCCTGTCTGGCAGTCCCTGGGGTACAGCAAGGCACCAAGCTTCAGAGGAACTAGCCCAACATTTGCCAATGAAATAAGTCGAGTAGAACTGTCTGGGGACTGGTCACAGTAGAAACCTTGCCAGAACCCAGGGTTGCAGCAGGGGAGGGGAGGGAGGGAGGAGGAAGGGGTCAGACAGAAGCCACGCGGTCACACAGCTTCCCACCCAGAGCCTTATCCTCAAGACCTAGGTGTCCACAATCTGAGCCCATCAGGGAATAATAACAATGATAATAATAATTACTAACATTTATTAAATGCTTCCTGTATGCATATTCGATATCTCATATGTGTATTTATATATCTACTCAACCAACCCATGAGGGAGGTAGGATTATTACCCTCACGTTATAGATGAGGTAACTGTCCACAGGGAGAGAAAGTGACTTACCCAGGACTACCCAGCCACGAAAAAGTAGGGCTGAGGTTCAATCCCAGGCCTTCCCCTGCAGGGTCTGACCTTTGACCACTCTGCTGTTATCAGCCAGGAGAAGCCTTTCCAGCAATTTCTATGTGTTTGTTACAGAACAATTAGAAAATGAGAGAAGAATAAAGAGAGCAAGTTAGTTCCTCACTAGCCCTGCAAACAGGTAACTTGCAGAGAGAACAGGGAAGGGCATTCGAGGCAGGGACAGTGTGAGCCAGGGTGTGGAGTCAGAGCCAGGGACTGGGAGCCCAGGCCTGGTGAGAGGAGGCCTGCGTGTGACCCACCGGCTGGTCCCGGGGCCATGGTACTGGGCCACTCTGCCCAGGTGGTGAGAGAAGCCGGGCCTCCCACCGTCACTCCACCTGCCAGCAGGCCTGAGAGGGAACTGACCACAGCTTTGCACCTTCCCCAAGCACTTCCTTCTCACCCCATAATTACATGATTACTCAGGGCTGGTTTGGGAAGGAAGGGCAGAGCCTCCCAGAGGGTGGGCCCACAACGTCTGAAAAAGTTCATGCGGGGGCTGGGGCTGCTTGGACCCTCGGAGAAAGGTTCCAACAGCCTGGTCCCTCCTCCCCTCCTGGGAACCCGACATGCTGGGCTCAGACCAACGTTCTGCCAGTGATGGGAGGTCTCTCCCAGCCTGTTCTGGGCACCCATTGTCTCCATATAACCAGGGAGCCAAGGCTGTGCCCCACCAGCAGCTGAAGTGCCCAGCAGGTAATTTTAGAAGTTACTTTTTGGGTTCCCAAAAATCCAGGCTCCCTCTATTCTGAGACAAAAACCCCTCTGTTTTTGACTCTCTCTTCTTAGAAGAGCTATTCCCTTTATAGCCCAGGGCATAACCAGTGCCAACCAATGGTCTACTAGAACTTCAGGGTGGCAACCACCAGGTGCAGACTCCTTGGCAGCCTGCCTCCTGCGTTTCCCTCTCAGCCTCTTACCCAGACACCCCTGGGAGGATGAGAGAGACAAACGAGCAGACGGCTACCTGGGGGGGGTAGAAGGCAGAGCAGGGGAGCATTGAGACAAGGCAGGGAAAGAACAGGAGGCAGAGAACCTTTCAGGGGGATGGAGGAAATCTTCTAAGGAGGTGGGAGATGAGCCTGGTGGCCAAACTGCAGACCCCAGCGGACAGGTCTGGGGGAGGGAGCAAGCTCCCCTTTTGCTCTGCTCTCTGCTGCTGGGCTGGGTAAGCTGGCTCTGGGCCACCCCAAGTGGGACCCAGACAGTCAGGAGGATCAGGAGGGAGCTGGAGAACCGGTCAGTAGGCTTGGGGAGGCCGGCAGTTCAGCCTGGGGAGATGCAGGCCTTCCAGGGAGCAGGACCTTCCGAGGTCCAGCCAGGCAAAGGGGAGGTTCTCAGAGGCAGGGGCTTCTTGGGGCTCAGGGAGTAAGCTCCCAGTCAGAGGGGTATATGTGAACAAGGGGATGGGCTGCTCTCATCAAAACTCCGCAGGGGGCCCATGGGCTGGGTAGTGGGCTGTGCTAGACCAGTGTTCTCCAAGTGTGCTCTGAGGGTCGTCCATAGCAGCAGAATGCAGGAGTCCCTCAGAAGTGCAGGCCCTTGGACCCCAACATTGACCCACAGAAACTGACTGTGGGGACAGAGGGCCTGGAAGCTCGATCTGTAACAAGCTCCCCAACCCTGACTGTCATGCTCCAGGAGGCTTGAGAGCCACCATCCAGGCACCCCTGATGTCTCTTCTCCAGAGAGAATCTGGATTCTTCTTGTGGATAAGCAGATCAAAGAGAACAGTGCCCCAGAGGCAGGACCAACACCCGGGATGTGGGTGTGACATGAGTAGCAGGGCAGGGCTATACCACAGGGCCCGCTCCCTCCCTGGGCCCAAAGAGAGCTCCTGCACATCAGGGCCAAGGGTAGGCCAGCAGAGGGGACCTTCCTGCACTACTTACCACACCACGGCCCACTTTCTGCCCCTGCCCTGCTCAGGCTGCTTCCTACCCAGGGCCAGGCCCACCGCTGCTGGGTGCCCTCCACCTGGCCTCCCCTCCCTGCTTCTGGGGGCTGCTCCTGCCTCACCTCTTGGAAAGCAACACCAGCTTCTTGTGATCTGCCCACTCCCATGACCACCCACTCTCTCTCTCCTTGACACAGCTTCTTGAGGGAGATATCTACATGCTGGTCTCCTTCACCTCCCACCCTGCCCACCCCAATCCCCCAGCCATTGCTCCAAGCTGGCATCTGCCCCTCCACTCCACAGACCAGATCCCCCACAGCCTCCCCCTCACCAGCATTTGGGCCCGAAACCACCCCTCCCTGAGCTCCCCCCTTTCTCTACCAAGGGACTGAGCTCTAAGGACAGCCCCACTCACCAAAGTGTGGAAAATCGGTCTTTCACTAAGGGGCTTCAGGAAGGCAGGAAGGTAGGGGAAAGGTGCAAGATGCTTTCTGGGGATGGCGGGCCTTGCTAAGCTTTGGGTATTAAAGGCCTCCTAGCCTGGGAGGACCACAGAGGGTACCAGGTACTCTGGATCATGTGCAGTCCAACCCCCTGGGGAGCTGCAGCAGCTCCCCAGCCGAGCCAGATGCATCAACCTATGGCTGATTGTCCTTATAACCCCTACTCCCCCGTTCCACACCCTGCCCCCAATGCACACACAGAGCTCATCAAAGAGCCTGGCTCTGCAGGTTAATCATTCTTGCAAACACAGACACTGGGGGCACAGAGACACCGTCTTGACATATCTGCTGTGCTGTCATGTGGAAAAAGGAGGGGCACAGTGCGGGCAGGCCCAGGAAGCTGCGGGGGTCACATTTCAGCTGCATCTGAACTGCCTGAGAACAAGCTATGTTGGCGGTCAGGGGTGGCTAAGTTCTCTGTGCCTAAAAGTGCACAACGCCACTAAAGAAAACATTTGCTACCCATTTACTGAAGGCGTTCCTACAGGCTATCTCCCTCACACTTCCAGGCTGGTTATGATTACCTTCTTTCTAAAGACAAGGAAACTGAGGCCCAAGTCCATTCAGCAGGTCTGTGGCTGAGTCTGGGCTGGAGCCTTGTCTCCTGCCTGAAGGAGGAGCGGAGGAGGCCTGAGAGCCGATACACCCACGTAGGAGAAGGGCAGCCCTGTCTATACCTGCTGAGCCTGGGCCATGGAGAGGGGGCAGAACATCTAGGCAGGGAGTGAACATCCCATCAACAGTGGTATTCGAGCAGGCCTTGTTGGCCAATCAAATGACTACACTTCCCACAGCCCCTTCAGACTCAGATTCCAGCACACCAGCATTTCTTTGGGAGCTAGAGGAAGAGAAAGTGGGGAGTCATTACTGGAATCCTGGCCAGCATTTGCTTTGCCAGGCACCAGGCAAAGCCTCACATGGACCATTTCACCCCCATAAACAATCCACGAAGGGTTTTCATTCCCATTTTCCACACGGGGAAACTAGGTCTCAGAGACACGAAGTGACTTGCCTAGGTCACACACAGCTACTAGGTGACAGAAGCAGGACTGAAACCCAGGTCTGGCTCCTGTGTCCAGCGTCATGCCTCTGCACTAGACCATCCTCAGAACAGCCCTCAGCTGAGTGCTTGGCTGCTCTCGTTCCCTGGTACCCAGTGTTGGAACTGTGCCCAGCTGCCAGGAGGCAAGAGGAAGGCTTTTGGGTGCCCCGAGGTCTGGGACCCTGTGTTATCCACAAGGGCACGGCCAATCAGTGTCCAAAGTCCTTTGGTGATGTTTCTCAGGTGGCAGAGAGGCTGGACAGAGAGCGTGAGGCTCAGGGACGGCTGGACTGGACTCTGGACCTGGCAGAGTCAGGTGACCAGGACAGCATCAGGCCTTCTTGCAGCCGGAGCTGGCTCCTTGCCTTGCAGCCTGTGACATGGGAGCTGGGGTGGCCTGGACCCACCTGGGCTCAGAGGCTATAACCCTGAAGCCCAACGACTCCATCTGCACACCCAGAGTAGAAGCCAAGGAGCCTGCTGGCTGAAAAGGTGTGTGATCAAGAAAGAGGAAGGGAGGGAGAGAGCGAGCCCTGCAATTAAAGAGCCTGGGCCCAGTTCTGGCTCAGTGCCTTTACACACTGTGTGACCTTGGTCCAGGCATGTGCCCTCTCTGAGCCTCCATTTGCTCATTTGCAAAATGGTGGTGATGGTCAGAGGAGATGTCTGAAATGTCAGAGAGGCCTCTGGTGCAATGACTTTGGTCCACTTCCCCATGTTCTCAGAAGCCCCTTCCAACCTCCAAGCCACTCCAGCCCTGAGCTGGACAGACTCCAGCTCCTGCAGCTCAAGAGGCCCAAGGAAGAGCCCAGGACTCTGACCCCCACACCTACCAGCAGGATGTCAGCAACCACTGCCCAGTTGCAGGACAGAAGCAGCTCACCGAGGGCCAGGAACACCTACAGACAAAGGGCAGCCAGCGTGAGTCTCCCAGGACCTCAGTCAGTGACCCCTCCCTGCATGGCCCTTCTAGCCTGTGGAGGGAAGCTGAGGCTCATCCTCGGGGCTTATGGGAGCAGACGAGGTCAGGAACTGGTTGCCCAGTTCCGGCAGCCCTGCAGCCATGGCCCCAGGGGGAGTGCCACGCCCCGGGCCTGGGAACAGCACTCTCCCTGATGGTTAGCACCCAAGGTCCAGCTCTTGAGATGACCCGAGACACCCTACAGAAGGCACCCAGGATGTCCAGGCCACTTTTAAAGGTGGGGAAACAGATTCCAAGAGGAGAAAGGCCCAGTGACTGATCAGATGTTACCCATTCCTCTCTGTGTTCCCCTAAGGCCTTTGTACACTGATAAGGTGCCTACTATGTGCCAGCCCACCTACCCGGCCCAGGCACCCCATCAACAGTCCCTCCCAAGCTGTCCCCTTCCCAGACCCCTGGAGCAGCATGAGGAAGTGAGCAAGACTGAGACAGTGACCCTGCCTGGGTCAGGGCCAGTGCTTGCCTGCGGGCACCAGCTGGCCCAGGGCAAAGCTGGACTGGAACATGATTCCCAGCCCCTGTACAGTGCCCAGCCTCTGCTCTGGGCACCTGTGGGGCCAATATAACCTTGTTTGCCCGACCCCTGGGCTGCACTGATGACTGCCAGTGACTGGAGGCCACTGTGGGCCCGTCTCACCCAGCTCCTTGAACTGCCCTGCCTTGTGCCAAAGGATTAGGACAATCCTCATTCTGTTCTTTCAAGAAGAGTTAATAAGCAGCAAGAAGAGAAAAATGTCATTTCTCAGAGCTTCCAGGAGCTTATTTCTGGAGTGGAATTAGTCATTCCTAGAGTCACGGGGCCGGCCCAGGGCAACCCAGGCTCTGGTGCCTGAAGGCCTGCGAGCACCCAGAGCAGCAGAATTGAAGAACCACTGCTTTCACTCCTGGCATACACCAGCCATGTCCACTCTTGTCACCCATCCAAGCTCTCAGCCACCTCATAAGGCAGATGCCATTCCACCCATTTCACAGATGAGGAGACAAGCCCAAGGTCATATACATCAAGCCACTTCCTGGCAAGCCCCTCCCCCTTGCAGCTGGCCCTGCGCAGGAGTGGGGACAGGAGGCTGTTGGGGTGGAGAGGGGTCCTGTAGAAGCCTCAGCAGCCACAGTGCCCAGGAAGGCTGGCAGGAGGGAAGTCAGAGGAAAGCCCAGAATGGGAAGGCCTCCGGGCAGAGGTGGCATTGAGCAGCCCCTGAAGGATGGGCAGGAGCAGGGTGGGCCAAGAAGAACCTGAAGGCCCTGCTGGGCAGAGGCCAGGAGGCTGGAGCGCACCCACCATGCTGGACAGGGCAGGATACAACCGGTGCTGCCAAGAGGGGGCAGAACCCAGGAAGAGGGAGAGCAGGTGTGTGCGCTCTCTCAGGCTAACCAGCCCCTGGCCCTCCATACCCAAACTGGGGAACCCTTGAGGGTAGGGCAAGTCTTCCTCTGGGCCTAGGGCATGGCTGGGCACCCACACGGGTGGGAATCAGGAAGTCGCTGGCAGGCAGGGCTCAGGCGCCGGCTAGCCACAGACCCACATTCCAGCCTGACAGGGTCTGCCAACCGGCCTCCTGGGGCCACATGAAAGCCTATGCCAGCTCACGCCCACCTTCCCTTCAACCCCACCCTGACCAGACCTGCCAGGCCACACCCCTGCTCACACCTCCCGCTGGGGACTGACCCCCCTTCCCTCCCACCGCCCAGAGCTGTGGCTCTGCTCAGCCCTGCTCCCCCACACCCACAGGACATACTGAAATACACCTTTTCCTTCCTCCAGCTGAAGCAGGTGGGTCCCAACCCCAAAATAGAGCTGATCAGAGGGAGGCTGCAGCCACAGTGGGGCCTTTCAGGCTGAGCAGGCTGCCCGAGGATGCTAGGTTTCCTCAGACACACCTGGAAACCCGTCCTGCACCACCAAAATCTCATCTCTGTGCAGCAGAGGATTTGAGGGGCGCGGGGCCTGTATGGGAGTGGTTGCTTCCTAATCCTGTAATTACAGAGTCTTCTGAAGCAGCTGCCTGGGCTCAAGGAGGGGCTCTCCAACACAGAGGTGTTAGCTCTGGGGTGGATGAGCCTGGCCACACCTTGCCATGCTGGGTGACCCTGGGGAGGTCACCTTCTGGGCCTTGGTTTCCCAAACCTACAATGATGGAGGGGGGTTAGGGCCAGGCACCTCTCATGCCAACAGCCTATGTTTCTAAAGCTGGTGACCTCGCTCGACACTATTTGTGTTCCCCACAGGCTTCATGCAAATTGGGCCTTAAAATTCAATGGCTCCCAGTCCAATTCAGACTTGGGTTCTGCAATAAAATCATGAAATAAACAAACACAAAGGGCCTTGGTTTGAGATGCAGTCACCATGAAGAATTCAGCTGACCACTCAAAGCTACTGTGACATGGGGTCCTCAGCCCCACAGCCCCAGGCACCTCCTGGACAGCCACAGGCACCTCCTGGACATCCTCACTGACCACGTACGTCCCCAAGAGTGTTCTCTCCTCCTATCCCCCTGCGTTACTGTCCTTGCTGCGTGTGGTTGAACCAAGCAGGCCCCAGGCACAGACTGGCTGCCAGCACGCTGCCGAAGCTGCCTCTCCTCTGGGAAAGCCTGTTGTACCCTGCCACTCAGGGCAGACACAGGAAGGGGGAGGCAGGGCCCTCCTACACGCCTTGCTTGCCCTCACACTGACTGCTGTCCGGTCTGCACCCAAAATGTCCCTCAAATCTGTCCCCACCTCCCATCCACTGGAGGGGACTTCCAAAAGGGAAATCTGATGCTGCCCTTGTCCCCTTAGTGCCTATGCATGCTTCCCTGAACCCTGACTTAGCCCCTTAGGCGACAGGGCCTGGGAATGATGCCTGGAGCCTGAGAAACGTGGAACCCGTCAACCCCTGGCCTTTGCCACTTCAGACTCAAGAGGATTTCCCCTCGAGCTGGGACAGTGTTGATGAATATCCTTTAGTCACCCCTGGCCAGAAAAGCATGCACACATACACACACACATGCTCACATTATGACACATGCACATGCACTCACATGTGTGGCCACGTGAGCATGCACAGATACATGCATGCTCAAGGCCTCACATACATGTACACAAGCTTCAACACATGTGCACATTCACACTTGCACACATACATGGATACTCATTGCCTGGGACACACACAAAAAACATACACAAGTACATGCATATGCAGATAACAGGAATGACACTTGACATATTAAAACATGTGTGGCAAATTTACCAAAGTGCTTTCATCTCATAATATGGACAGCAAGTTGTGCACACACAATCACACATGTGCACACATGTAACATGTATACAAACATGCCTGTGCCCTCACCCTCCCTCACATACATGGATATGGACACACACACACATCCTCTCCCCATGTACACCAGCATGCACAGATAGGCAGGCAGAGAACAGGAGGCAAGATGGAGCACCTGCCCCAGGTAAGGCTCAAGCCCTGCAAGGTGGAGGGCCAGTGTCCTCACCTTGGCCCACCTCAGTCTTCCACTTAGGCAGTAACTGATCTCTGTATGCAAAGAATAGATTGCAGGCATCACCAGGAAAGGAGAAGACAAACATCCCCCAGAGACTGGGGCAGAGCTAAGACCCAATCCTCCCCTTTCAGGGATCAACTCTGTGCCCAGTGTGACTAAACCAGTCAGGACACAGGCCCCAGGCACAGACTGGCCGCCAGCAAGATGCTGTGCTAGCTGGCACACTTTGCCCCAGGGCCTGCCAACCTATAATTGCACAGACTGGCTTTAGGGCACAAGGTCACCACCTGGTTCCCAGGGGCCAGCCGTAGCCCAGCAGCCTGGTACGTGCACAGGTGGAGAGTGAAGCAGTAGGGGAGCAGAGCTCTGGTGTGATCCTGGAGAATTCAGCAAAGACTGTTGGCTCTCCTGGTGGGTTCTGCTGCCCATCCAAGTAAAGATACCTGCTACATCCCGGCAGGGAAGTGGGGCCCTTAGAGGAAGGGTGGGCAGGCTTCTCCCAGAAACTCTGAGGCAACCTGTGGTTACTTCAACCCCAGATGCAAGAGGAAAGAGCTTAGCCAAGAAGCAACCCACTGACCAAGTCACAGGAAAGCCCTGTAGAGCCAGGGCACCTGCAGAGCCCAGCCATCTGGGCCACCCCAGCAGATAGAGAGCAAACCCCACAGCCACCCTTAGAATCCTTGGGTGGCCTGACTACAGCTATGGTGGGCACACATCCTGGCTGGTCCCTGCCAGGCACCTCACAGTGTCCCCCAGGGGTACCATGCTGGACAGATACTGGGCCTCCAGCCCTGGTCCTTGCTCACGACTCTTTTAGGTTGAGAAGGCTTTCACCGCCCCCCTCCCCACCTCCCACTGGATGTAAAGGTCTTGGCAACAGCCACGCTGGCTCTGCTTTTTGTGGTGCAGACCATAGCTCTCACTGAGTGAGGAGGAAACTCAGAATTATGATCTTGTTTGGGCTTGACAGGGCCTCAAAGATCATCTGGAGCAACTCCTGTGTAAAGATGAAGGATTAAAATTGCATCATAGACTTCCCTTCCCCACAAAAGTAAAAAAAATAGTAAGTCAAGACAAAAAATTGTTTTCACCACAGAAAAGAACAAAACCAAATGAGATAAACATTTAATATTGGCAGCCAAGTTGAAAAACAGACAGTTCTGGAGTAGAGTATAGCTCTGTGCAGCTCACCCTCCCCTAAGCTATTCTCCAAAATCCCCACGTCTGGAAGGAAATAAACCAAGTAGGGATCTCTTGTTCCCACTCTTAACTGAGAACCAGTGGGAAAATCTGCTGGGGAAAAAATGGGTAAAAGTGGAGAAAGTGAACAATGACTCTCCTTACTGATGCCACTCAAGGCCTGAAAGCGGCACCACCCTAGAGGAGGGTACTCTCAGTAATTAAGTGGAACGAACACTGTGCT